CAAGAACGATCATCGACAATCATAGAAATTTCTATCAGAGGTATGTCACATTACAATCATTGACAATATTGCAAAAGTCATTATCTTCCTATAGAAATCAATTTCAAGAGCCTAAAATTGTGCCATTATTAGAGAACTATGAACACCACATGCTTGTAATGAGCAAAGATCATAAGCCCCCAATCTTGCTTGCACACAAACAGTTCTGTATTAAGCAAAGAAGTTCCATGTCCATTTGGAAAATGCAAACTCAATTTTCTCAAACTAATATCGATTCAAAGGAGGTGCCCAGACGATAGATCTATACCCAGAAAGTTTCTAAGAGATGAAAAAGTCAACAAAGCATAAAGATGATATGAGTATCAATTTTCCTTTTTGGTTAAAAGAATGCCCCTAAACTAAAGATCATTAGCTTTTTGAGAAAGTGAACAGAAAAACATAGACAATCAAGAACAATACTACTTTACAAAACTGTGTTTCAGATAACCTTATGATGAACTTTACACAACAAGCTTGTGGATTACCATTTAAAATTCCAATCAAAATTTGAATTTAGTACCAGAAAGAAAGAAAAAACAACAGAGATCGATATGTCTTAAAGATCAACCGAACAGATCTGCAATTCAAAACCAGAGATAATTACTCAAAACAAAGATTCAAGTTGAAACAGAAACGAAATTCAAACAACTAGGTTCTACTTCTAAGATAAAACAAGTTCCCCAAAACTTGAATTCATTCCCATCGATCATACCTGAAGAGCAGACAAATGCTCCTGGTAGAACTGTTCAACAGTATCATTAACATACTTATCAGCAAAGCTGGAACAGATCTTCCCATCAATCAAGCAGCTCTTGATTTTGTTCCAATTTTTAGCACTATTCACTCTCTTCTGCAGCCAACTGGAGTAATCCCCAAGCCTATACTCCTTATAACCACGATTCGACAAGACCTCACCGGCGCCCTTGTTCGTAACGACAAAAGCGAAAATGGTGAAAGAAAAGAGAATAACAATAAGAACAAACATTACAAGAAGGTAAACCCATAGAAGCCATGAGATTCTACAGCAAGCACCGAGAAGACCGGCGAGAGAAATCAACATCAGAAACACGCCGATTATGATTACGGGTTTGTCTAAGAACTTCTCGCATTCCGTGCTTCCTTGTTTGCTGAGCCAAACGCCGGCCCAGAGAATCGGGATCGAGAGTAAGAAGGTGATGAAGTTGAGGATTCCGACGAGGTTGTTGCTGAATCGAGGCATTGGGAAGAATCGGAGTGGAAGCAAAAGAGGAAGAAATTTTCAGAGAAAGTTTGGAAGAAAGGGGAAAGAAGACGAAGAAGGTACTGAAGTTGAGCGACTATATAATATTATAAATTTGGAAACTCGCTACCATTAACTGCCACGTGATTTCTATTCCCTTTGCTTTTCAGGAAGGTTTCAATTTGGGGCAGCGGGTTTGGTCAAATCTTTTCTCTCTCTTACTTTAAATTTAAAACGTATTAAATTTTTAAAAAAATCATACATAATAATTTAAAATTAAAATCGTTTTTTTTTATTATTCTCTGAAACTTTCATTTATAACATTCATTTTAGTCGTTGTATCTTTCAATTTTTATAATTTAATCCTATCATCAAAAATATTTCTAAAATTTAATGAAATTTCTTACCTACATTAATACAAATTTGAAAGTACAAAAATAAATTATTATAAATTAAAATTTAAGAATTAAATCGTGTTTTTTTTTAATCTAAGACCAAAAGTGTTCGATTATTTTCTTTTAAATCATAAATATTTTTTTAAGGTATTATGTATATATTTCAAAGTCAAATTTTTAAATATTCAATTTTAACCGGATGAACCATCAAATACTTCAATTGACTATGCACCGATCATAATAATTTGTATTATATTTAATTTCAATTATATTTTTAAAAAAAAATTGTTCGCTTCTTTATAAATAATATTTTTTATTAAGATAAATTTAAATGAGCAAATATATATATATATATATGTATGTATGTATGTATATTAAATGATTATTACTTGGGAAAAAAGTTGAGCAAATATCTTACTTTTTTGGTAGATTATTAAGATGATTGGTTTGAATTTCTCACCCACTTTTACCCCTAATCATTACTTTTACTCCTAATCATTACCCTCGGGTAAAGAGAAAGGTTTAAGATTTTACCTTTTTGAAACTTTTTTACTAAAGAAAACATTTTATATTAGGAGTCAAAGCATATAATATTTACTAATAGTTAACTTGAATCGTTATAATTATACTATTTATTATTTTATAGACGTGTTTTTTTTAATATTTTATTAAAGATGAGATATTTAAGTAACTTAAAATATTTATTTATTTATTTTCAAATAATATGATATATTCATCAAGTGGGGTCTTCCCCATTTTTGTATAGAGAAATTAACAAGTGGGAATTAAAGCATTGTCCCAATTGCTTTTGATTTATGGTTACTATCTTATTTAATATATATTTTAAATGATGATGTTGGATGATTGATACTAAATTTTAAAATATCCTTTTCATTTTAATTTTATGAAATTGAGACAATACCAAATTACATGGTCAATTGTTTATTTTATTATTATTATTTTTTTCCTTTTATTCACAACTTGTCTAAAAAGTAAATCAATATTAAACAAATAATAATATAATATTTTCTAATTCTTTTGATTTGTTAATAAAATTAAATGTTTTATAGTTTCGAGACTTCAATTTTATAATTATGATCATAAAAAAATATCATTTAATAATTAAAAACGAAGTTGTCCTAGAAGATCCCAGATTAAAAGTCAACTTAATCCTAATCTTTTACCTTTATTATAAATATCGATAAATAAATAAAAAAATAGAATGTAAATGATAAATCCTAAATAAATAAAAGACAAGACAAAACAAAATATTAAACAAATTTAAATGGATAATGATGTTAATTTATTTCATTCGTGTTTTATTTATTAATCAATTTTATAATTTTACCCTATAATTTGATTTTATAATTTTATAATTTTAATTTCCTTTAAGATTTTATAATTTTAGTCCCAATTTTTCACTAATTAATTGAAAGCCAACTATAACGATTAAAACAGAACTTTAGTGAAAATTCATGAGTAAAAGTATAGACTGTCGAAGTTTATGGACTAAATGAAAATTCCCGCTTGTGGGACATTTTTATACATTGTGTTTGAAGATAAAGTATATCGAAATGGCACGTGTTAGTCACTGAAGATAGTTTTTATTCTTAGAAGCGAGAAGTAGGTAACATGACTATATTGCAGAGAATGCAGAAGAATATCGGAGTCATTCAAATTCCAAATTCTAGATATGGAGCGTTACAATCCAACTCCTCTAATTAACATGAGGAGTTCCAAACTACACGCAACTGCCATGGAGTACGTATAATTGTAGCTCCACTGAATAGATATGCAATTCAACAGAAACGAAATTCAAACAACAAACAAGTTTCACAAAACTCTGAGGTAGAAGGGTTTAAAACAATATCATTAACATACTTATCATCATCAAAGTAGGAACAGATCTTTCCATCAATCAAGCCGCTCATTCACCCACTTTGACAGCCAACTGGGAGTAATCCCAAATCTATAGTCCGGTTGAAAATGAAAAACTCTGATACAATGTTAAGAATAAGAAACATAAGTGAGATTGAAAGTGGTATGTTTATTAAATATAGTCTCAAATGTCAAACGGAATAAACATGTAATTTGAAGAAGAAGGTAGAGCCATAGAAGCCATGAGCCTCTACAGGAAGCTCCGAGGAGACCGGCGAGAGAAATCAATATGAGAAACACGGGGATTATGATTAGGGGTTTGTCTAAGAACTTCTCGCACTCTGTGCTTCCTTGTTTGCTCAGCCAAACGCCGGCCTGGAGAAGCGGGATGGAGAGTAAGATGGTGATGAAGTTGAGGATTCCGACGAGGATGTTGTTGAATCGGAATGGAAACAAAAGAGGAAGAAAGGGGAAACAAGACGAAGAAGGTACTCAACTTGAGCGACTATATAATATTCTAAAATTTGGAAACTCGCTACCATTAACTGCCACCTGCTTTCTTTTCTCTTTTAGTCGGTGTATCTTTAAATTTTTATGATTTAATCCTATCATCAAAAATATTTTTAATAATTTAATGAAATTCAAGCCTAAATATATCATTAAACTTCTCAAATTTTGCAACCTATTAAAATTTTACAACTTAATTGTGTTTTTTTAATTATATATATATATATATATATATATATATATTAAATGATTATTACATATATTTAAGTAATTTAAGAAAGTCAAGTTTGTAATATAAAAAAGAGAAATCTAATATTTATTTATTTATTTTCAAATAAGTTTTTAATATAAAAAAGAGAAGTCTCTTTAATAAAATATTTATTTATTTATTTTCAAATAACTTCCCTTTTTTCTACAGAGAAATTAACGGGAGCGAAACATTGTCCCAATGGCTTTTGATTTATTGTTACAAATTTAATATTCTTTTTTTAAATGATGCTGTTGGATGATTGATATTAAATTTAAAATATCCTTTTTCCTTTTTAATTTTATGACATTGAGACAATATCAAAGGATTATTATTTTTTCTTTTCTTTTGTTCACAATTTTTCTAATAGTAGAATCAATATTAAGCGAATAATAATAATATTTTCTAATTTTTTTAGATTTGTCAATAAAATTAAATGGTTTCTATGATACCGATTTAATGATTAAAAACAAAGTTGTCCTAGAACATCCAAGATTAAAAGTCCTAATGTTTTACCACTATAATAAATATCTAACATTGACAAAATAATAATAATAAATAAAAATTAGGATGTAAATGATAAATCCTCTAATATAAATATATATTGAACAAATTTAAATGGATAAGGGCGGAATAAAATGGGTACTTAAAAGCTTGGGTTGGGTTTCCTATTTGAAAGCAACTTACCTAATCTTCCATTCAAAGCAACAATGGGTAAATTTAAGCTCAAGTTTTGAATTTGAAAGGCAGCAAATGGACGAACATTCATTCAATTCAGAAGCTCTTCATTCCATGCAATTCTGTTGATGATAGTTTATAATATGGAAAGCTTCAAAACCAATTCACAAAGCCCCAAAAGCATATGGGAAACTGCAATCTTGGCCCTCTCTTTGTCTTTAACCTTTTGACCATATTAAACACAATGCTTCCAGTTCCTCAAAACAACAGAATGATGTTCTTTACTTATAGAACATGAGATACACAATAGATCAAGCCAATGAAAAATAATGGAACTCCCAAACAGTTTTTTGATACAACTTGAGAACAAACATAAATTGACAATCTGTGCTTTTCTGTGGTGATGAACATTCGTTCAAAGAGGGCCGGGGAATGTGCCGTTCTCTCTCTGCTCATTCCATTTTTCGACCTGCAGGAACGATGCGGTTTAAGCACATCAACAGGCAGAGGTTCATAAAGGTGGCTGGCTGATAGACTCAACAACCCATAGAATCATGGTGCAGATATTCATGGGCGTGGTTCAGATATAGTTTCGGCTCCTAAATATCTGATCTATCATTTTTTTAGAATTGTGGTCCTAGACTTTTACAATTTTGATTTTAATCATTCAACATCTACTAAAATTTAAATATTATTGCCTAACCTGATAGAAATAGAAAATACATGAAGTTCAAGGCAAAATAGCTTCAGTAGCCAATAAGAATATAAACATGTAATCTAACGCCACAGGGCATAGAGGTATCAAAGACGGTTCTTCCTGGTTCATAGAGAAAATTTTATGAATGGAACTTGGGATTAAATCCAGAGAGTTTGCATAAAAAAAAATCAAGCAATGCTAATATTGAAAGAGGCAAAAGAATTCTTGTGGCCATGCACCTAAATGTTGGCAGAACTGCATCAATAGGATAAAAAAACGTTGAACAAAACTCACCCATTCACCGGGGCAAAGGGCACGATAATACTTTGCAAATCTCTCGCATTCACCGGACTCCTCGCCCTTCGCTGTCAGGCACCTGTGGAAAGTTCCGCATACTTAAGGGGACAACTAATGATGAAAACAGAGAAGACTATAGACCCTTTCATTTTTCAATTTTAACTCTCGTTCCAAGTTGTAAGAAAAATGGACCTGTGGAACTCAATGTAACGAGTGAAACAGTGCCTGGTTTGATTTGTAGTAGGGAATCGGAAGTCAGCAGGTGCTGTTTTCAGCTCAATCTGAGATAAAAGAACAAAAAGGCATAGGAAAAACAAAAATAAAATGGACGTTGAAGAGGATTATCTTGATGAAGGATTACCACTTGTCTAATACATACTCAGTATATCTGTTCGCCGATGTAACAAAGAGGTACGCATCATTAAAATTTCATTCAATCAGATACAGGTATCTAGTAATCGTTTTCTTAATAACATCCTTCCAATATGAGTGAATAGAACATTGCAACATTTTACCAATTATCTTGTGCCTTCTTTACCTCAACTCATGGCAAACAACAATATGCTAACTGACATTCCTAGGTTACAATCTTCAATTATTGATAACAGCAAGGAACATGGGTAGACATAAAACATCCATGAAAACAGATTTTTTGAACATAAACATTCATTACATGAGTAAAGTTATGCTAAATAGACACAGCTTAATGTGCTTCTGATCTTTATCCTATTATTGCTTATTAGGAGTTCTATTTACTATTCTTTTCAGGTGTGAACGGAGATATGTTTCATCCTTCCCATGTCCTATTTTATACTATTCTAATAAGCATATATTTCTCAAATCATCAGTTCTTTCTCCAGTAGTGTGATGTTTGTTTAAACAGTGGTCAGAGAATTTTCATTTGCCAGGATATATTCTTTTTCCACAATGATATCTATTATCTTTCAATCAGAAACATTTGGGTAGAATTCTTGACTTATCAAATCATGATAGGGATCTGCCACTAAGAAGATACTGTAGTGAGATTTAGAGCGTTCAGTTCTATACTCTCATGACCAGTATTCATGAGAATACTTTTCTATTGATGTCGCCGATGAAGTTGTGATTTAACGTGTGGGATGGAATTTGAAAAACCTACGAATCCCCTCTTTGGCCTGTCCGGTCGTTACCAAAATTAAGGCTCACCCTCATGAGCAGTATTCATGACGAGAACCTTAATTTTGGTAACGATCGGACAGGCCAAAGAGGGGATTCATAAGTTTTTCAATTGTAAACCAGAATTCCGTCCCACCAATTAAATCACAACTTCATTGGCGACATCAATAGAAAAGGCATTCTTCTTCTTTGTTTTCCAGCTGTTTAATTTATTTCATAACCTCTGCTTCTCGTTTCAATAAAAGAAATTCATGTTCTTTTCCTAACAGGTTTTACAGCTTCCAATCTCTTACTGCGTCCAAAATGCAACAAATACAAATGTAAAGACTCCGGGAATATGTCCAACAAGCGTTGAAGAATTTCATGGCTCGTCGCACGCAGAACATAATCCAGTTTAGAACACAATACATCTTCTAAATTCTAAGGAAATCTAAATCCTACAAGTACGTTACAAATTGTGACGAGTGAAGCCGGTTTGTCGGAACCATCTAAAAAATAAAAGAAGCAAAAACACCATCCTCTAAACGATCATCGAGATTATACGTGAAATCCAAACAATAAAAACATTACGGAATCATTTTTTTCATACAGAAAACGATTATCGCATCCAAATCGGGGCCGTTAATGATGGGAAAAATGAAAAGAAAAATTCACTACCATCGATTTTCACGCAACTAAACACAGAAAGAGAACAAAACGAAGCTTACCTCGGCCATGACTGATCGATTCAAGCTCCAAAAAAGTGAGGAGATCAAACGGAAGACTCTGCAATGGAAGGTGGACGAAGGCGCAGTATAAGTTGAACAAAATAGGATCGATCTTTGTCCCAAAGAATTCATATAAAAGCTCATAAATGGGCCGATCCTATATGGGCCTTCGTTGGGTCATCCAAATTAATATAAAATTAAAATTTAAAAAAAAAAATTGTTAATTTGACTCACCCACCTGAGTAGAACTATCAACTAATCAAAGCTATTGAAGCAGAGCATATTCCTAGCCATGGAGGCCGTGAATTCGACCACTATGAGCAAAAATCAACTCAAAAACGGTCTAGAATTTGATTTATATGTTTGAAAATAGGAACCAAAATGATGATATTCTTTATGTGTTTGCATAATACCTGAAATGTTACAGGTTGAAACTATGAACTAAAGAGTGTGTTTGCACATTTTCTTCCCGTGGCTCAATCATAAAAATTTCATAGTTAAGCATATTTTGCTTGGAACAATTCTATGTTGGGTGACCTTTTTAGAAATTGTGAGTGAGAATAAAGCATCCTAAAAGCACTCGTATTAGTCACTATGTTAAGGATGGTTGGGAGGGAGTCCCACGTTAGCTAATTTAAGGAATAATCATGAGTTAATATAAGTAAGGAATACATCTCCAATGATATGAGAAATTATGCTCAAAATGGATAATATCATATTATTGTGAAGATCCGTGATTCATAACACACTCGAAATAATCTTTACAGAGTCATTTGGAGTCCAAATTCTAGACATGCAGTGTTACAATTCAACTCCTCTAGTTAACATGATGAGTTCTAAACTACACATAATCGTGATGGTGTACGTATAATTGTCGTATTACTCATAAATCCTATTTAAACAAATAAAATTAGAGTGAAAAGTAAACTAGTGGCAAACTCAATAGATGATGCCGTCTGTTGAAATTATAAATTAGTCTGAAATGGACATTTTGCCACATTTTTCATAATGTTTCAATTGTGGTCGGGAGGATTGACTTCCACGTCTCCAACATGGAAAAGTTCCACTACCCAATGGGCAGGACAAGTGGGCTGGGCCTAGGCCCATAGACTATTTCATTTTTTAAAATTCACAAGCCTATTTAATTTAAAAAAAAAAAAAAAAAAAAAAAAAA